ACATAACCAAACTTGGGGGAAAAGCGGTAAATAAAAGTAACCTAAGTTAAAAGTATTACAAACTCGAAACAGATACAACAATTGGAAAAATAAATAAATAAATACGCGCGAGAATAAATTCAATATCCTAAAGAATCTACTTAAATAAAGAAAATATTTTTGATTATTTTATTGAGAAAACTAAATATTTGTGAATTAAACCTATTTTTTTCTAATTAACTTTACTTAATGAAAAAATCAATTCAATATCATTAAATTAATTAATTTCCAAAAAAACTAATTTTAATTAAAAAAAAAACTAATTCTATATTTTTTTGTGATTTTATTGATTTTATGATTTAATATTTAAAAAAATGATTTTTAAAACCATAAAACAAATAACACAAAATAATGAAATAAATAAGAAAAACAAGAATGGGCCTGATGCTGGAAGTGATTTTGGGGGTGCATGGATAAATTTTGCAAAGCCCAGAATAGCTGGCTCATCTGCCTTATGCGTGATTTAGTGAGGCTCTCATCTAGGGGTTCACCATGGGGATTGGTTGATTGGGCGCTGGATCTGATCTTGGGAAGATCTTGAGAACGTAAGGTATACGCGCTGGATGTCTCACACTGGAACCTGCAAGCAATATTGGGAAAATGCAAAACTGCTAGTTTCTGGGATCGAACCCAGGTCTTTGGTTTCACATGTTTGCTCCTTTGCCATCTTCTTTGTTAACTCATTCATGTATATAATATAAAGATTATAATATAATGAAAAAAACAATCCAAATGTCAAACATTCAAAACGCGCCCAATCAGCTTTGACATGGACCAATGATGTGATGACAAACAGGCCAACAGAATTCAAACTAGTCAACGGTGCCGGAGCTCAGCTCCGGTCACCTTCTCCGGTAGCATCAAGATGCCAAAACCTGCCAAACACGATGGATCAAAGTGAAAATCATACCCTACCCCCCTATTTCGAGGGCTGCGATCACGATGGTGGCCTCCATTTGACCTAAGAATGCCTGTAAACATAGATACGAGAAATAAAAACCTTTGTGCCCTAACAATGGCACCTTGTTATTTCTGCGTGCATGCTTGCAGCTAATGATTCAAAACACCTTAGAATGACATTATGAACATATGCTAATGCAAAGATTCGATTTATATCACCTGAATCACAAGTTTGAGTTTGAGAATTTTACCAAATCGTGTGGATTGGGCTAGGGTGATTCTGGATGTTTTAACCTTCAAAGATGGATTAGATGAGATGCTGGGAGTCCCAGGGGGATGATAGAATGCTTGGCTTTGACTGAAACTCTCCAGATCGTGGATTACAAGATTGCACCTCTCTTGAATTTTTTGAAAACTTTGACTGGCTCCTTGAGGCAGGTTGCGCGTTACTATCTATCCTTAGGGTTGGAATGGCTTGGCATATATATGTGAATCACATTAGGTCAACTAGTATGGCAAGAATCCAAAGATATCAATGCCTTTAAATTTTGCTTCAAATCTTTCCAATTTTGAATATCCTTGCCCATTCATAGCTTGCACTATTTCTTTGGCTATTGACAGCACATGAGATCTCCATTCAATGCAAAAACCATTCCTAAAACAAATTATGTGATTTATTTGGACTTATTTGATTTTATCTGAGTTTTAAATGAATAAAAATCAAAATAAATTAAATAAACAAATAAATAAGGCATGGAGAGTCCCATAGGTCGTGGACCATGATAGGACTGAGATTCAATCTTGAAAAGATGGGCCCATGTGGAAAAAATGCAATTTTGGGCATTATTAACTTTGTGCAAATTTCCAAAAATGGACAACTTTGACAATGCATATATCTCTCAGTTTTGACCCTAAGAGGGTGTTCTTTGACTTTTTATAAAGCTTATGATGTCCTATAAACAATCCTTTTGTTTTCATATCCATTAGGTCTTCCATGTTCATGTAAGAAGCTTTGACCCAAAAGGTGTTTTTGTTGACTTTTGAAAAGGACCTATAATGTCTGAGTTTATATCTTTTCATGAGTGCATTTATTGAACTTGAGGGATGAATATGAGTTGTAGGGAATTCGATTATCTTCAAAATTATCCTTGGATGAGAAATTTCTGATAAAGTATGAGAAAGTTATGCTTGGTCAAAGTTTGGTTGATTTTTCCTATAGAAACCCTAATTTAGCAACTTTTGAGTTTTGATGAATTAGGAGCATTCCTTGAGGAATCATGATCAAAACTTGATCAAATGATGGATATGACTTAAAAATATTGATTTTGACCAAAAATATTGAAGTTTGACTGTATTTGGGCCGCAGTTGACTTTTGCCCTTGTATAGTTGATTTTCAGGCATTTGAGCAGTTAACTGAGCAAACTTGTTGTGCAAGGCATGAAACTTGGCATGGATGATCTAGATGAAATATTAGGACAATGGAGACCATTTGGGACCCTTGGAACTCAACCATCTTGATAAGGAGTGAAACCCTAGTTTGAGGCTCATTGTCTTAGGAGGAGGATTTGTTTGGTCAATCCTTAGTCAACTTGAGCAATTGAGGACCTCTAGGAGTATGTTTTGTGTGAAAATGGGAGGGTAAATTTTGGGGTACAACACTAGGTAATGGAAATATACATATTTTTACTCATGTTATTCCACCCACATGTATTTCATCGCGTTAACTATTTAACCCTTTGAACGGTGCCTCAAACAGAGTTCTAAAACTCAAGTTATAGCCCTTTAAAAATCCTACTGCTCTCTGTCACCTGGTTCTCGCCCGACGAAGAATTCTGCTCGCCTAAGGCTCGCCCAACAATGTGGGTGCGACAACACCACCATTCTCCTCTGGTCTTCATAGCTCGGCGAAGCTTCTTGCTCCCCTGGCGACACATCTCCCGCTCCTGCATCACCCGACGATGCGCGACCGAGGTGACCTTCTCCATACAAAATCCAGAAGCACCATTTTTTTCTCATTCCTTCGCTCCTTTGCTGGCCCGACGATGACCTGGAGACGTTGCCTCGCCCAACATTGCATAACATACTACAACTTCTTGTTGTGATTTTGCACTTGTTCAGCCTTCATACCTCTTGCGATTTCATATCATTACAATCAAGATTTTCATATTTTTCAACATGGAATCATCATACAACAACCACACAATATTATAGGCATTATATATACAAACTCATGGAAAATCGACATAGTATTTTCATCAATTTCAACATAATTTCATCACAAATGCAACAATCATCAAATCATCATAAACCCCAACAAATCCCTACATACCTCTAAACCCCATATCAATTATAATGAAAGATCACCCCACTTATCTAAAATTCCTATCTTAGGTCTCTTCTCTTTGCGATCTACCGAAATTCATGTGTTCTTCGTGCCCTAACTTTCTCCTTTGCTCTTCCAGTGTTTTCACAATCATACCAAATGAAATATTTTCCCTTATTCCTTGTTTAACCTTTGAACCCCTAATATGTTTTGTCCAACTTGTCCTCACTTAGCCTTTCACCAATTACATCTTTCCCTTATCTTCTCTACAACCTCTATTTTATTATTAATAATAATTATAATAAATTTTAAATAATTATTAACTAATTATCTAATTACTAGAATACTCCTTACTCGTTTAAATTCTCATTATCCCACAACATATCAGCACATCACACATCATACTCAACAAAACATCATAAATTCATCAACAATTCATAAATACTCACAATTAATTAATTAAATAAGTAATTACGAATTTTGAGGTGTTACATACATTCTCCCATTGCATATGTTGTACTAAGAGCTGATGCATGTAAGCTGATTGGCAAAGACACAAGGATCCCCACAGAGATCCTCGACACAAAAGTCATAACTCCTCTACTTAGGAGCAACGATCTGGGGGGCCCCTATTCTGAATTGGGTATGCGCTTAGTCTGTCGTCGGGTAAGGCCCAATCTAATACTGCAAGGGGCCCAATAACCAGACATGGACTAGGCATGTGCTTGGTCCCCCATCAGGCAAGTTAATCCAAGTACTACTTTGAGGAGGATCCACAACGGTTGTCCGAATTGCTATAATCGTTGGGGAACATCTCCCTCAAGAGCACGTCGAAGACGTCTCTTCCACGTGCACATTAGGGACATCTCTTCCATTAGAACGTCGAGGACGTCTCCTCCACATGCCCACCAAGAGAACATGGTCAATGGTCCATTGAATATCAGAGTCATCCTGCTCTCGGAAATAATGGGTCTTCACCTCCGAGAATCGCGAAGCAGTGTAACCAGGATAGAAACCACGAACTGGTCTCCTCTACACACATAGAATCCTGGAAGCCTCAATTATGAGTCTGGGAATCCAGCCCAAATAGAGGCCTTGTCCCAGCACTGGGGGCTATAAATTCTCTCTTTCACTAGAAGGCCATGTACACTTTTTCTAAGGACTATATGCTTGCACTTTGCTCTGAATCTTACTTTGGTATCAAAGTGTCTTGCAGGTACCCACTTTCTCTTCAACAACCGTAAGAGTTCAAGTATTGTCGGTCAGTGAAGATCCATTATTATAGGGTACGATCAAAAGGCATTTGGAAAAATTAATTGAGTGTCTAAACAAAATGATTTTAGCATGCTGGTATATTGGTTTTAAGTTTAACACACTTTATTATTGCCTCTGTAACAGCCTCTACCAATGTATGATTGTACCCTCGGTTATTGTACATAACATTGAAGATGACATTAATATGATGGTAATTTAATAAGTTTATGGTGGATTTAGTCAATTTAATTTTTTTTTTAAAACTACTAACCATGTTGTTCATAGGAACCAAAATACACAAAAATATTTGTACGGATGGAAAGGATAAAGTAAACATAATATATAAGATCTAGAACTTACGAAGCCAAAAATTAATTATTGAGGCAGTTACATGCTTATCCTTAGACAGATGGTTGCAAAAATCAAATCACATGCTATTACATACAAGCAATTATCCTAAATCAATAATAGCCATGTACCCTTCTAGTTCTCACAGGAAAATGGCTTCTTCTCCAAATCAATAAATAGTGTAATATACATCTTACATTCTAATGAAATTTCCGATCCACCCTTAAAACCAATAGAATCAAGCTCAATTTCTTCATCCACTAAATAAACAACCTCATCAGCATCAGAATTTGAATTAGAAATATGTTTTTCTTTTTCTAACTCTCCAACTTTCTTATTCCTCATCAGCATCAACATCTTGTAATCTTGCGAGTACCATGGTTGCAACTTCACCTACAACACACACAATAATCAAACTAATAGTACATGTTTGGTGTGCACCAGCAACTTACTTTAAAGAAAGGCCTTTGAATTCACCAACAACCAAAATTCAAAACTTCTGCAATCATTTATGTAAACTAACATCCAAAATATGAATTTTCATTCAACTTCCATGAACTCTACAAAATAATCTTTAAACAGCGTGATAATGTCTTTTATATACTAACAATAAACTCACTCTGTTGCATTTGATCACTTTCATTTTCTCATAGACCCGATGTTTGAAAAATGTATTTTCAAAGAAGACAATTGGTTTGCTTATTTATTAAACCGCGACGATATCAACTACTTATTTTGCTCCGCACAAACTATTAAAGAAAAACAAATTTTAAAAAATATATTGAACCATTAACAAATGTAACAGTATGTAGACACACAAATACAAATTTGAAATAATAGAGTGAGAATCAAAAACTAAACATGTCAACCGACTCCATCATGCTAGGTACCAAATTTTAAGCCCTAATTTCCTTGAATTCAGTTTGCTTCAGCGCACCATCATCCAATATGCATCAAAACTAATATGAATTAAAGTTTAAGAAAGAGAGGGGTTTCTAAAACCCTATTCATCTTCATTTTCTGTAAATATATAAAAGCCAAAAACTAAAAATAAAAAAAATGAAATAAAGAAAGAAAGAAACATTACCTGTTCGTCCATGTGAGGAAAGAGATTAAGAAATATATCTTGCTTCCGCACACATCTGGAGACATCGTTCGTTTGTTAGATGTTGACTATGAATTTCGATTCAATTTCCTCATTTTAACATTTCCTTTCCCGATCTACAATCCACTCAATTCAATTAAACTCATCCAAAAACAAACAAAAAAAAGAAAGAGGATGAGATATAGAGATGAAAAAGAAGAAAACTATAATTGATTTTAGAGCAGCTTCAAAGCTAATTTTTTTCGTGATGCTACGATTGCTTTTATGCATTTTGTTTTATGGAGAGTTTGCTTCGATGGAGAGATTGCAATCTATTTCTGCTACACCAAAATGAAGAGGAAGTGTTTAATGGAGAGGATAATAGAAATAGGGTTAATATAGAGGCAAATAGAGTCAAGTATTTTCAATGTATCAGAAAATACAACACGACGCATAATTAATTTTGGAAAGGAAAAGTTATATTGGAAAGAGAAAAAATAGAGGAATAAGAATAGGGTTTGCAATATTAACTTGGAAAGAGAAAAAAATATTTTGGAAAACTTTATATTAGAAAGCGAAAAACATTATTTTGACTGTGAAAATTAATTATAATGTTTAATTTAGGGTAAGTAATGATTATTAGTTGTAATGATATTTAGGTGTATGAAAAATCATATCTAAATTGATTTAGTTATGTCATTAAGGTAATTTTGGTAGTAATCTATTTTATTATATTAAAAGTAGATAGTGCGGAGATGTATTTGCAAACTATTTTTGGAGAAAATTATTGTGGTTTTTTCAATCAAAAGTAATTTTAATTCGATTATTTTAAAGATTAATAAACACAAATATCATAGAACTGAGTAATGCGTTAATCAGAAATACTATCATAGTACAAAAGTTGTTCTCCAAGTTAATGAAATTATACATAATACAATTAATGCATAATTTACAGAGTATGCCCAAGACTAACATCCTGGCTACTATTTTGCCTACGGTAACTTAAAAACTTAATAATGATGTTGTTATTGTGGGTTGAATTATTGTTGACATGTTTTATGAATTATGTTGATTGATGTTGTAATACGGTGGGAGAACCGACTTGGTGCTTTGCGTTTTATCGCAATTGTTGCAGATAACAAGACTCGTCACCGACTTTTCTTTTATCCAATAAAGGAAAATGTGAAAAGAACAGGAAAGACTTTTTGAGAATTTTCTTGAGTTCGAGGGGTAAGTTATGAAAAGGGAAGGTGTTAGCACCCTTTTCATCTGTAGTTATCTACGGGCTCTTAGTTGCTAGCTCACTTTGAAATGCTTTTGCAAAAAAATGTGTTTGTGTATGTTTTGAAAGTATTTTTGAAAACTGTCTTTGTGTTAAGCGAACTTTGTAATGATTCTCGTCTCTATAAGAATGTATATAAATTGTTGACTTTTGAAAATATTTCATGAAAGTGTTGGTGCGTTTGAAAGATATTTTGTTTTGAAATGTTTGTGAACAAGAAACTACGAGCGTTCTACCTACTCAAAAAGTCTTAGTTCTTTTCCTCCTTCTTTAGATAGTATTATCTTACCATTAGTTAGTAAGAAACCTTATCATTAGATGTGAAGGGGCAAATGTGGGTCATCGTACAGTCATAGAAGGCAACATTGTAGGATACCTTAGCAATTTGTCATAAAGGTCTAAGATCGTTTACCGAAGACAACATCGAAGGGTCATCGATGGTCTTTGCTAAAGTATCCCACGTTTGAGGGACATGACTGTTATTCTAAGGCAGTAACTATGGGTTAATCCTAGAGGTGCAAGTGTGCAAAGTGTATTGTCTTAATGCATTTATCTTGAATTAGGGTTGTCTATTTATTTGGTTTTAAGTCTTGCCATACAAATCCTAATTACTAGCAATAATATTGAAAGCATTAAATTGCGGAAATTTAAAGTCTTACGCTATTACAATACTTTAGGGGATGGGGGTACAAATTACAAATGGGGATGACAAGTAAAATAAACTTAACTATTATAAGATTTTGACAATTACATCATAATGTGCAAGAATAAATATGCAAAAAATATAAAGATAATGTAAAGAGAAAACGAATTGAAAAGAAAATTATTTTTATGTTTTTTTATGAAAAAGGTTTTAATTAATCTAATTAGTTAATCTAATTGATTTGAAAAAGAAATTAATTTAAACCCTAAAATTTAAGTTAATTAATAAAAATTAAAATAAAACCTAAAATCTAGATTAATTTATGAAGGAAAATATTTTTAGGATTTTAAGTCAAAAATAAATAAAGAAATAAAAGTCTTTTTATTTTTTTATTTAAGAAAATAATATATTTTTATATTTTTTAATTAAGAAATAATAATAATAAAATAAAATAAGAAAATAAAATAAAATTAAAAAATATAAATTAGAAGTCATGGGGGTTTTAAAAAGAGATGGGTGGTTTTAAAAGTAAAACAAATTACTAGGCCTAAAGACCTTTTTGTAATTAGAAACAAAATAAAATAAAAAAAGATATAATAGGATGCGTGTTGTTAAGCACTCAGGGGGTGATGATGAGAAAAAAGATCAGGCCCATTGCTGAAGATCAGGCCCATTGCTGAAGAGCCCAAGCGCGCTGCAAACAACAAATATGAAACAAGGAAAATATGAAGAAAAAAAGAGCAAAAGGTCTCGTTGGGGCTCGAACCCAGGACCTTCTATAGGTATATCTTACGCGCGCGCTCTCTACCACTAGGGTGGATATACATCTATTTACTTATACAAAACCATCACATTATATTATAAAACAAGTTCTAGTGACAACTTCATCTTCCTCGCGCCATAACCAGAGCTCTGTAACTTTCTCATCTCTCAACCATTCTCAAAAGTGTAAACATCAAACTTGTTAGAAATTTCACCACGATTTCAAATATGTAACTAACTTAAACAATAGATCAAAGATGAATATGAATTTTAACTAGTACCAAATATGACCTAATTTTTTCAGCAATTTCAAACTTAAAATTCACATCATTCAGGCAATATAAATGAATTCTAAGGGCATGTTAGTTCCAGGGCTTTGATGTCTACATTTTATCTTTTAAAATGGAAGTCAAGTGATGCCTGTATAAAGAGTTAGAAAATCAGAAAACTCACCTTGCAAGTGAATATCGTGTTTTGAGTTTGAGCTCACTTCAAGGTGTGGTAATGATCTGGTTAGCTTCCTTGAACTTCCAGGAGACTATTGCAATGCTTACTTTGGATTGAGAGTGGCTGAAATATTCTAGAGAAGTCAATGTGCAAGTTGCTGATTTTGAAAATAGAGAAAAGTGAAAATGGAGTTATAGTTTTGTAACAGGTATTGGGATGGCTTCTATATGTGTTACAGAAGCTTAGTGGATGATAAAAATGGAAAACACATGAGTGGTTTAAGAGATGGTTGTCAAAAATAAAAAATGGCACAAAAGTGAGGCTTGAGAGCAATTTTGAGTTTGAGGGAGTTTTCAGGCTTGCAAATTCGTGTCTTATCTTTCAAATTATGTATTAATTTATAGGCAAGAGGTTTGGAGGAAAGAGAACATCAGATTTTTAAGTTGCAAAGTTATGGCTATGTTTCTTGATTTTGAAGCAAGCTTGAAGAACATGGTTTCAAGGTGAAGTACCATACCCTCTAGGGTGGCTAGACACTTTAAAAATGTTTCTTCTAATTGTTTATTTTGAGTGTGATCGGAATAAACAAGTTAGAGATTAAATTAAGGAGTGATTTGCAAGTTAGAAGCCTAAAAAGAAAGATTTGTGCAGCATGGGTTTGAGATTTGGTTGAATGTTCATCATCAAAATGACCTAAAAATCAAGAATCAAACCTCAACTTCTTCTCTTCGATTCTCTTTGCCCAAGCATGATCTCTTCAAGTTCTTGGACATTTTATAAAGCTTGAAACATTGTATACAACCTTCACGTTGACCATTTTGATAGAATCGTCTTGGAGCTTGGTGAAAATTGGCCAAGAAGTTAGGACAAAAATCTGTCTAAAATAGGTCAAAATTTCACTAAGTGTTTAAGAAAAAGTGCATGACTTCATAGGCCTATAACTTAAAATCTAAGAATTTTTTAGACATGAGTCCTCAAATACAAAGTTGTATACTTCATCAAGATCTACAAATTTCATGTTGAAAGTTTTCTTTGAATCATCTTTCATCTTGGTGAAAAATTGGCATGAAGTAGTGAAATTATCATGTACAAAAAACACTTAGAAAAATGTTCAAGTCTTGAAAAGTTTGACTTTTTAAATTGTCTTTTGAATTTCTTGATTTCTTGATGATCAAGCTTCATATTTTTGAATGTCTTGATGAATTGTGATCTTTGAAACTCAATTTTGACCAAAAAATCAAAGTTTGACTTTTGGTGTATCACTTGACTTTTTCAGCAGTTGACCAAATTTCATCTATCAGTTGTTTGATCTTGAGGGATGAATTGAATCATGAAATTAGGTCAAAATGATGAAATTGAATCCTTGAAATCATTTTTCAAACTAATAAGTCATGTATTAGGTCAAAAGTCAAAAATCAGTCATTCTAATCAAAAACCCTAATTTTGACTATTTTACCCTTTTGATGAATTGAACATTTTTATTGAGGAATTATGATAGAAACTTGATCAATTGATGAATATGACTTAAAAATATTTACATTGGTCAAAAATCTTGAAGTTTTGACTGTAAGTTGACCACAACTGACCTTTTACCCAATATAGCTGATTTTCAGTCATCTGATCAATTGACTAAGCAAAATTGTGATTCAAGACTTGAAACTTGACATGAGCACTCTTGGAGACTTATAATGGACCATGAAATTAACTTGATTCATTAGAAGTCTATTTTTTCTTGAGAAAACCAAAACCCTAATTTGAGGCATCAATGTTTAGGAGGTGTTTTGACCTAGTTAACATTTGTGCAAACTTGAGCTATTGATGATCCTTGTGAGAAATGTATTGAGAAAAGAAAGGAAAAATTTTGGGGTACAACAGCTTCCC